AATTTATTTCACTATTGTATAGCGCTAGACAACATCTGTGTGTTGCTATTGTGCGTAAAATAAATTCAGTGCATTGCGCCTTTCGCGGCAGAAACTGTTTGATGTGCTGAGGAGATGATTAATACGCTGAAATTGGGACTTCCGTTACCGCAAGATGTAGAAGGCATGCCATGATCAGCGATGCGACTAGAATACATTACTTAATGACTAACAAATATTAACTAATAAATATTTTTATGTAAAAATATTTATTAGCTTTTGCTGTTATGTGTGCTGTAATTTTTGGCTCGCTCTATATTAATCACTTTATTAGTCACGCTTATTAACCGCTTTACATAAATGCATATGTGTACGTGTGTGTGTCTTACTATCTATAATTACAGTTCATTCTGGAACATTGATAGACAAGCGAACAAAATGTAGCAACGAGGGCGTGCGGTTATTTCGGGACGAGGACGTAGAGCATTAACCTAATCTAACAATGAATGCAACAATGATTTACGATGACGCCCATTTAACTTATAAGATCTATCAAAAATTATCTAATACGATACTCTTAACTATCTTTTTATTGAATATTAAACGATATATGTGATTATGTGCAAAAAGCAAAATCAACTTTCGTAATCAATTTTGCATGTAATATTTCAACCATTTGCCAGATATATTATATATCAATTAAAAAATCAATAAAATTATCATATCCACACTTTCTGCTACATAGTTAACACAGTATCCACTTTCTTGCATATTTATAATTTATGGCACCAATTCTAAAAAAAAAAGAGATTGTGTCCATGGACGTCAAAGTCAGGATTTCTGGGTTTGTGCCAAAGTGGCTGAGCGTTGCCTACTCGGAATTGCAACGAGTCACGGGATAAATGCCATTCCATTATGCCGCCAGCTCATCAACCTTGAAGCGTCACACGATCAAGCCCGATAACGAAAACAAAAGGAATAAATATCAATTTCCTCGTTTCTAACTGAAGGTCCTTCTTTGATTAGAATATTTATGTACCGGCGTAGCAGCGATTTTACTCTGATGTTAAACAATTTTTAATTTTTTATTAACAGAAATACAAATATATAACTACCATAAAGAATAGTTACATTTTCCATTCTTTGTAATCAAACTTCGTTTTGTTGGTTAGGAATTGTTTCTGAACGTCATTTTCTTATTATTTATCTTTGTCGTTATATCAAAGGCAAAAAATTAAAATTTAAACTAAATAGATACTTGAGAAGAAATTGATATAATGCCTCTTTAGAAAAAAATTACACTGTGAAATATTTTCTACATTATATTTTATGCATATCTTATGATTTTCAAGATATCTATTTTTTACACATGTGATATTAATGCGTGATATATATTTATTTGTGTTAACTAAAACACAGATTGCAACAGTTTTGGCGTATGACACAATCACCTGTTACATGAGAAAATATTCGCAGCTATAAATGTAATTATGTTGGCACAATAATTATTTGTATGTATCAATAATCATTTTAAACACTTTATTCGTAAATTTTAAATAATGAGCAAATTTTTAAATATACTAGCTTTAATTCAAATCGCTTAATTAGCCTCTGATTTTGATAATTTATTTATGTTATCCATCAGAGAATTAATATCGCAATATTCAGTGATGAAGTTTATTTCTTTCCAAACTGCGTAGATAAAAAGGACAAGAATATATTTAATGGATTATACATACAATATTAATCATATCGATTACGATTACAATTCGTGATTCTTAAAACTGTTGTGTAAAAAATATGCATCTTGTACAATCTTACATAGTCTAATATTTTTCCTAGTCGATTAGCTTCACCGTAATCTTTCTTCGAGATATATTATTCGGATATGTTCTAAGAACTTGTATTGCTTCTTCAATATTGATATCAAGTATCAGGTTAAAATGTCGTAATTTGTTAAAATCCTTAAAAATTGTAATAGTATTTGATTTAGGAACTCTGTTCTTTTCCTCGTTTATTTCACTAGTTCGACGCATTTTTTAAAACAAGTATAAATATTTCAGGATGTTTCAAAAAGGTTGGGCGAGCTATACATAGATGACATATCCATCTTCTGTTTGTTGTAAAAGTTATATTGTTCGTTGGTAACGAAGATAAGGATAGCATGAAACACTACGTAGAGGATTGTATTGAGACAAAAGAATGGTTTACTGTATTAGGAAAAAATAGTAAGGAAAGGTTGGAAAAACTTTGGAACGATAAATTGGACACCACCAAAACGGAGGTATTGTTGTTGAAAGTTGTTAGGGAAAGGAATGCGAAAGAAAAAGAAGATAGATATAGAATGTCAATAAGCTGTGAGATAGGCTGTGAGGTTAGGAGATAATGCAATTAGCAATGATCAAAGAATATTGTGAAATAAGTTAAATAAATAGGTTAAGTTATATTTTTTTATTTATTTTAATAGGTTATTAGGATAGTTGTGTGTGCGAGGATGGAATGCAGGGGTATGAGTGAATAAGGATTTATTGTAAACCAAGTCCACTTTCTGGCTGTTTTGCTAAAGTTAATAAAAATATATATATATATATATATATATATATATTTTTTTTTTTTTTTTTTCGTTGGTAGGAACCGAGGCAACAATAGTTTTCAACTATGGCCCTACAGATAAAAATTGAGTAGATTTAAGTCGGACGAACATGCAAGCCTAACTCTGGACATTTGAAAGCCATAATAAGGCAGTCCTTGATTTGAAGAATTCAGAAATGCATTGCTTCACCAGGTGAAAATTTTGAACATCTTTGAATTTGTTTCTTTTTTTATTTTTAAAATTCTTTTAAATAAATAAATATTAGTATGTATAACGTAAATATTGAAAACTTATTCTTTGAATCTTAACTTGACATTAACCTTCTAACGAAGCGTTTTAAGAACATATTTTAGGAACATTTTTGTCTGTCTTAATGAGAAGAACATGACTACGTATAGCCCGCTCAACCTTTTTTAAACACCTGTATAAATTTGAATATATGAACGTTTTTCAATAATTTATTAACAATTTATATGATATGTAGAATATGTATAAGGAAAAAATTCGCCAGAAATTCCATTTTTTGGCAATAACTAAATAGAGAGAACCAACAAAATCTTTTAAAGAAATTTTCGTCAAAATCTTTTAAAGAAACGTTGTTCTAACCAAAATCAATACTTATCACAAATAATTAGCAAAATTGTTACTTGCAGAAAAGAGTCACGTTTAGTGCGTACGTGGGAGAAACGTCCGTGCGAGATCTGTCTTGCTTGGCTTTCGGCGATACATTGATTTTTCCGGCTCTGGACCCGGAAGAGACTTAAGTTTCTTCTCCCACTTACTTTTTTCTTAGAGAAGGGAACCAAATAGGCAAGCTTATCAGTTTTACGAGTAAATATTATTTTGACTCGGACGTAAACCTACGTATGCACACGGAGGCTTAATAAATATGATATAGTTATATCAGAAATGAGGAACTTTTGATCTATGATTTTATGATATGATTTTCAAAGATGAGAATAAGATGACGGATCACAGATATTATTATTCGTCACGAAATAATTTTCACAGTAAAATTCTCCGAGTAATATAAAATATATTTGAAATAAGGAACTGTTCCGCTTCTTTATATCGCTCTCACGGCTTGGACGTAATTTTCAGAGGCGGGGGTAGAAAAACCACGGATACCGTGTTAACGACCGTTACTCGCTTGAAAATCGGCGCGTGGAAATTGCGCGAATAATGCACCGTCGCCGGAACGAGCACAGGTGTGGCTCGCTTGGGCGGCAAGAAGCACGTCATGTCGGTTCGTCCGGCAAAATCGTATCGGGAAGAAAAAAAAGTACCGAGAAATGTCGAGGCGATTCGACGCGTACGTTATTTCTATTCGGTATCACGAGAGAAAGAGAACGGAACAATGATCCGAGTGTGCCTTGGCAGCGACGTACTTCGTTAGGCAGAAGAATCGAATCGAGACAGAAGCGACGTAGAGATGCTACTTCGGAGTCGTTGCAGAAACGATGTGCACAGCGATGGCCTCAATTGCGACCGTTTGAACCGTTCACCAGCTGATCGCTTATTAGCAAAAGGCAGTGCGGGTAAAGAGTACTCGCTGGATTAGAAAGTACAGATCTGATCCAACGAAATAGCTCGCTAAATCTAACAGCATCCGAATGCTTCTGAAAGAGGTCTCGACCTATCTTTCTTTTTTCTCTCTCTTATCAGCGTCGTTCTCTCATCGATTCTCTTGGATCTACGATTTATCTTAAGGACATCGTGATTAATCCTAGTCGTCTGAAATATTTTCGCTGCTTTATTCCAACCGATTCCCATTAATTCAGTCTCGTTTCGCATATATCTTATTTTTCATATTCAATATAACATTCCTACAAAGATAAAACGTAAAGATAGTTATAAGTTATAATAGCATGTCTACATCCGTAAAAGAACTACATGTGGGATTTATCTGTCGCGCACAAAAATCTACCATAACTTTCCGTAGCATTCAAGTAAATACTAAGAGAATACCAACACTAACAATTTAATGATCGAAATGCATACATATCTCTATAATTGCACATAATATATAGTTCTTAGAGAGAACGAAATATATTATTAGCAAATAATATCATATTATTACGAGCGTGATAAATGATTCTCCAAGCTCGAACTTTCTATAATTCACAACGAAACGCAATACCCTGCACATCTACGATCGCAAAGAACTAAAATCTCTCGATTTCGATCTTTGTCCTCACACAGAGATCCACAGAAAGTGTATCCTTCGGGTATGCTCTCGCACGCGATAGAGCTCACTTTCTCTCGACCCGATTGTCGCGCTAGATCGCTACCGCGTTTTTTATTTCGCGGCCAAGCAGTCGCTTCGTGGTTGGTCGATTTTGTGCACGCCCGATCGGTTCCTTTATCGTCACGTCGAAGCGGCCAGCCCCAGCCGTAGTGCAATGACCGGTTAAGTGATTCGACTAACGTATTCTAAGTGGCGGTTCAAAGAGAGGCGCTCGTCTTTCCTCCTCCTTTCCTTTCTCCTTGGTGCCGAATAAGTTACTTTTTCCCTTTCGCTTTCTCGACGTCCTTGCTCCTTGGAATTTTCATAAGTCTCTCATGATACACCGATCGTCACTGTTGATCCCTCTTCAGTCTTATTTGCGACACTACCGCCGATTCAGATGTAAATCACTACGGTCCCGTCGTTGAAGAAGATTGTTATGCGAATCTGTTGTCTGACTCTGGAGGACATGTCGCCAATGGAGATACGATGATCACTAAATTGCCGCGGATAAAAGATCAAGGGGTTGAATTTAAGTGGTGAACGTTTTTCTCAGTCGGCTCCCTTTAATCTCTTTTACACGTTGTGCTGGTAACACCTCGTCACTTCTGCGTATAAATTACGCGTTCGGTTATTCGCGATACGATGCGAGTTAATAAATCTTCCATTCAGGTCTGAACAGGCACTAAACCGTTCGCCGATGCGACGCCGACGTGTGCCCGGGATCAAGGGTACGACATTCTGGCGTCTACGGCAGCGTTGGTTCCCTCGTCAACGGCATCGTCTTTTTCTCGAATGCAGTTCTCGGATAATGACGATGATTGATCAGCCTCAGTGCTGATCGAACATTCGTGAGAATCCGATGGAGAGACAGTCGTCGCGTTTTATTCCATCACCGTTACCATCGGTAATATATTCATCATAGATTCCTCTGTTCAACGATGCTCACAGCCATATCTCGATTGTAAACGATAATGCTTGCGTTTTCTTAAATTTCACGAAACAAATTTTTATTACTATAAATTTTTAAATCCGAGATAAAACGATCACAGACTTGTCGATTCGAATATTGTCATTGTCACTAAAGCCTTGCTTTTGCGTTTCCAAATTCGATAAAGCAGTTTCTTCAGATAATCTAGAACATTGTTCTATTTTAAATTCTGAAATCGGAGCACTGGGGTAAAAGTTTTACCGATATCTTCACAATCTGGTTTACTCGGGTGTTATCGTTGACGTCCTGCAAAGTCTTGCTTGCGCCGCTTGATTTAGCAATTCCTTAAAATAATTTAGGACGGCATTGTTCTATTTTAAATCCTGAAGCCCGTGCGTCTCGAGATAAAACTAATACATTGCCGTTGGATATGGGTCTGTGACTTGATATTCTCTCGAGTTTCGTGGTTTGTGTTCACCGGTAAGATTCGTTGCGAGATATCTTCATGGATGGTGCCAAACGGTACCGACCTGAGTCCGGAAAAGCCGCGCGCTTTTGACGCTAAGAAACCGAGCTGTACGCCTTGCACTTATCCCGGGACCAGCTTTTTGTCTTGTGAGTCTGTCCCACGAGCGTCGCGGCGCTCCAACTGGAAGCTAGCCACTTCTGCGCTTGGGTTTATATTTAAACGGCACAGAGCGCCGCCGGCCACGTCGACGTCGACGTCGACGCATCGTCTTTCCCAATGCGTCGACCGGACGTCGAGAAGAGAAAGAGAGAGAATGCGTGTCGAAGAAAAGAACGCGTCGAGAGATATACCGGATTGAAGAAGAAAAAATCTCCGCTTTCGCGAAGCGAAAACACCAAGATATCGTGATATGTTGGCGTAGTGAAATATTGAGGCGATGTTTAAAAGAGAAATATTATTCGAGAAGGAAGGGGCGAGTTTCGAGAATTCGTATACCTATGAATATACAGAGTGCGAATGAAAGATGAGACAGTTGCATAATAATTCTCGGAAGAGATACCACGCTTATTATTTTGGGACATTTTCTTTTTCTTATTTGTACTTGCAAATACTTTTCAGAGTACAGAATTTTGACTTTTATAAATGTGCGATTATGTTACTCTTATTGTTGTCGCTTGGTGATTTTTTCGGAATTCTGTAACACACCACTCACGGCGTTTTGGCACAAGATACCGTTTCATGCACATATATACAGACGACGCAGTGTAAAACGTCGGAAAATTCGTGCTAATAAAAGAACGTATAAACATCGATACCGCAAAATCGCCGACCTCCCACGTTGGTACGTATTTATCCGACACTTCAAACGGGACCAGCTAGGGGAGTTCGCACATGGTGAACGTTTAACAGTTTGCAACGCAAAGAAAGCAGGACGGCACAAAGCTGCCTCTACAATTGACGAAACGCATACGTGAATATCAATTACCGTCGCAATTAATAATTTAATTATTAAAATATGAATTGTTAACAGATAATGACTATTATTCTCTGTTTAATTCGAAATCTTCCTTAATGAAATTTTAATTGAATTTAGTCAAAGATACGTGTGTTTGCAATAATATAAAAAATTGAAAATTAACTAAAGCCCACTAAAAGCGAAATAAATCAAAGAATCTATAGTCAAGCTAAAATGTCACGCACGCTACATGTCTAGAGTAATCTGCCTCAAATATTCCAATTAAATATCTGCAGAGCCTCTCGATGTTTCATCGTGCAACACATGAACACTCGCGTACAATAATCAGTCCTGCAAATACAGGTTGCGTACACTGAATTCAATCAGCGCTTGCATATGAATTAGTCCTTAAACCGGACAATTCGTGCACAGGTAGTGTTAGTCTTCGATCGATAAATATTATAGGATAGATCTGTATATCTACTCGGCGTGCTTTCATCCGTCACGTTCGCGATGCGTTCTCGCGAAGGAAAGGAAATCCCGAAAGGGGCATCTCGAAGGTCTGGAATGTTCAGCGTTTCAGGGCACGCCGTTCAAATCCTCGCGAGAGAACGTATCCTCCTTTTTTTCTCCTCTACCAGTCTACCCACGCGCTCGAACTACCTATACCACCCGCGAAAGAGATAAAAGGACGGGTGAGACGAAGGAGCAGGCGGAGATCTAGGCTGAACGAAGCGGCAAAAAGAAGGAGAGGACTAAATACGAGGTCGAGCAAGGAGAGGAAGCGTGATATATGGAGAAGGGACGGTCTGCGCGCGTTTGTGTGTGTACGAGGGAGAACATCTCGCCGATATCAGGATGTAGGGTTTCGGGGTACGCCCAAAGGGTCATCACCCTTTCTTGGCGAACCCTCCTCCTCCTCCTCCTCCTCGCTTATGTGCATGCCGTGCTTCTACCTTCTCCTCCCTCCCTCCCTCCTCCCCCGCGCCCCTATCTGCTCTTTTGCTGGACGGTCCCCACTCCATCTTCCTCATGCTCCAACGGTGCACCCCTGCGACGCGCGCTTTTACTCCCTGGCGCGTCTCCAGAGACAAAGAAATACGATTCGCCCCGCGAGAAAATGGCGTAATTATATACGAGGGCGGGTAGAAGAAGAACGTAAATCACAACGGGAAGCAACGGGGCGTGCGAGGCTTGGGTGAGGAGTCTCGCATCCGCCGAAAACGCGGTTCGGAAAGGGGGCTTTCGAGAACTTCTCCTTATTCCTTCCTCGAAATCGGGAGAGGATGAAAACCTTGAGGACAGTAAGCGCGCGGTTATTCGCTCCCCCCCCCCCTTCGCGACAGTGGAAGGATTATTTTTCATTCGTTTTGTTTCGAGTCGCTGGCATGCTCGTAGGAAACAGGAAACGAGGGGACAGGAACGAATCTCTAATTTATCGAGGTTATATACCGGTCTCGAATCTTGCTGAGGAAACTTCCAACCTTCAATCATTCCGTTTTCATAATCGTAAGCGAGTGTTGCTGCGTCACGGACGACTATCTGCGGTGCAAGGTTCAATATCCTCCTCATTACGATGGCGTCACTTCAGAAGGGAGCCGCTCGCGTGACTCGCTTCTTGATAACGTGACTGACAACCGATGGAGATTCGAGCCCCGCGGATCATACCATGATGATATGGGTGCAATGAGCTCGGGATGATGTCGCCGTCTTTCATAAGGTGCACGACGCGATACCGCATAAATTTTAGTCACGATCGCTACTTACCAGCTACTACTTAAGCAACAGAAAATAAAAAATAGAAATGAACCTACAATAATAAAATATTAAAAGAAAATGTGTAATAATATGTATAACAATTATCTATTTAATAGGACAATTAAAAGTTAAGATGTGTGAAGAAAGATGTGGATAAAAAAGTGTGTGAGAACAATAACGAATCGTTGACATTATAGATTCCAGTGAGAGCTACGACATACGAAAGTTTCTCGGCTAGAAAACTATTAACAAGAGAGCTAATGCAGCCAAACGCAAGATTATTATACTAACATCCGCTTCAAAACTCGATGTACTTTTTACAGAATCGGAACGAGGATAGGGATGCAAATCACAATGCAATCTCGATGCACCGAGCGGATCTTTAGCGTTGATGAAGCTCCCGCAAATAATTGCTTCTTCGTGGTTAGTGCAAGCGATAAAATTTGCTACGGGATAAATGGCTTTTAATATTAATCTACGACGGCTAATAACGGACTGCGCGCCGCGAGGCGTTAACGCAAAATCACATCGCTCACGGTTTTATTTATTGTAGTAACCCTGCATGTCTAGCAAATTGGCCATTCAAACTTGTAATTTGTGTAACGGAACAATCAATATGCACGAGTATTCCGATCGCCAGACATTGCCATATTCGTGGAAATTGATAATTGTAAAGCGTCGATAGGAATAAACGTCATTAACAAATCTGATTATTTTAATCTGAAAACTTATGAATATATTATGTATTAAACTAAATATGTTAATTGAAATATGTACAATTTTTTTCGCTAGAACTTCTATTTGTTGCGAAAACACTTCAAAGAAACTTGCAAAAAAATGTTTGTTAATTTTCCTTCTGCTTTCTAAATTTTTATTTTTTAGTTATTCTACATTTACAGAGTTTCCTACAAACGATGTTCGTAATTAACACGCGGCGACTTAATTAGACGTATATTTCTTCGATTTGTCCTTTTTCCTATGGGGAAGCAAAGAAGAACTGCATCGTAATGAAAGTTCCAACTTTTCCCGTTTCCACGCCGTTGGGAGACTACAGATCGCTATAATTAACGGAATGGAAAAATTTCGCTGAAGTTTCCTTCTTATTTTCAAGGTAGAAGCCCCGAGCTTGTGGATTCGATGTCGGAGACAGCGAGAGAAAAAAATTATGCGCCGCAAGTACCCGAGGACTCCCACATCTCGTAATTAGCGAACGGCATTCTCAATTATTCTAATGAGCGTAATGCACGTCAAGATAATGCACTGAGAATTCCGGAATATAATCGGCCGCGAATACTACCGCGTCGACGCGACTCTTCCTGTCTCGCCTTTTTTTCTCTTTTTTTCAAGACCGTTGTGAAATCTTTTGAAACATCCAGGTCCTTTTTATTACGACAATTTCACTTCGCCACGAGAACACGTCGCGTGGTTGCTCGCTTAAAAAAGAAACCTAAATAGTCCTACGACAATATGATTGTTTTAGAGTACACGAATCATATAGGCGCACGTAAGTGTACGTGGATATATATTTTCGCATATTCCACGCGGCCTCAAAGGTCAACGCACGGATGCAGCGTGCGCGGTAATAAATGCAGTCGTTATTCCTGATATGCAAAATAGAAATAAATGTGGAATGCGGGTTATGAGATTAACAATGCCCGGCGAGCGAATGCGGAGTTTACGCACAGAAATCATAAATTATGTATGATAACGCGCGGTTTAGTTTAACGATATAATAGTCCCGTCTATCTATCTTGTACATCACGCGTTCATTTTCGCGCGTTTATAACTTTTATAATTGTTTCAAGTCCGACAAATAATCGGCGCGCAGTTTATTAAGTTGAAACAGATGTATATGAATATTATATACATTGTAATTCGTTACTTCTGTAACTATTAATTTCTTTACTTGCGCACCACGTACCGCGCCTGACTCGTGTAGCTGTTTATTAATTTGTTGACTTTTATAATTGTTATTATTATATTAATTCCACGAACTTGAGGAAACGCAGCACGTATTAAAAACATTTAACAAAATCGGAATATCATAAAAAAATATTTACATATTATAAATTTTTGACAAATGTATTGTTCTTAAATATTGAACAATTGGTCAAATATTTAACGATTATCTTGGAGTAATAGGATAAATAAAGGATAAATAATGATTTGTTTTCGGAGCAAGAAAAATACTGAAATATTCCTGAAACGTAAAATTTTCATTTAAATGTCTTTATGGTTTTATGTCTTCATGATTAGATATTTATATACAAAATAAGTCACAATAATAATACAATCAAATGCATTTAATAATAAAACATATTTACACCTTCTGTACATTGCAAGTTATACAATTTTTATCATTTCTCGAATAGTAATTCTAAAATAAAACTTTAACCACTTCGAGAAAAAAATAAACGAAGCACCCACGATAAAAAAGTGCCATGGTATATCG